CTTTTTATAACAACTTGTTTGTTCTTTAATAACATTAGGAAAAAAAGCCCTACTATCACTCCTGACATTCTTCCCCGAAGAACTGCGCAATCTAGAAAAGCTTGAGTTTGTAGAAAGAGCATAATTTTCCCCCAAAGCCGACGTTCTGTTGTCGTGCCAGAACTCCACTTTTCTCAGCAGTTTAAAGTACAAAGCCACAGACTATTTTAAAGAAAGAATGTAGAAAATACATAATTTAGTGTCATCTTTCTCTCTTCCTTTGGATGTGAAATACTTTAGTCCAGGAAAGAATAACACATTTGAGCAGGAGTTCTTAGGTTTAAGGAGAAGGAAATAGGTCTACTGGAAACATAAAAACCTGTTTTAGAGAAATGTCAGAAATCAGATTAAAGGACTCTCCACCAGGGATACATACACTTCATGCTATGACCACAGACATAGTTCCTCTTGATTAAATTTGCCAAGAAGCCTGGAGTGACCCAATCACACTAATAACATATCTTATAAGTTAAGAAGCCAATAAAACACATGCAAATTTTCAATGACGTAAGAGAAATTTGCAGGTCAAGAAAAATTTTCCAAATAGCCAAGCAACCCCATCCCCATTGTCTTGAAAGTTCAGCAAATGCTTAATGTAAAAAACTGAAACCGGAAATAAAAATAATACTTTGATTAAATAGCCTTATTTTGTATTAATAAATGATGTAAAAAGCGAGAAATGAAAAGAGCTATATCATTCCAAATCCTATTTCTCACCTCACTACATTAAAAAAAATCACAAGCTTCCTGATACAACAGCTACACAAATGTCTGAGACCTTGCATAGGCCAAGTGAGTTCTTTCTGCTGGTCACCATACAGTCATAGCACAGCCAAGAGAGGACTGGTACATGACCAGGACCCAATCAGTACATGCACTTAGTCCCAAGAACTCAAAACTGCTTCTTGGCCTACTACATATAGCCGTCTGACAAACAAATGCATTATTTCCTTCCATTTTTATTACAGTAACACAATGCAAACAGTTTTAATAGATCAAAGATTACAAACTTCAAATCTACTATGGAAAGATCCCTTTTCAAGAAAATAAATTGAAAAAATAAACAAACTGGGAACCCTTTTTAGTACTGTATGGCTTTGTTGTTTAGGACTATCTTCCATCATATTAATGGAAACAGTAAGAAACACATAGTCATCCATGCTAGTAGAATAACAGGCTTACAGTGCATCAAGGATGTTTTAGAGAAACCATGAGGAAAAACTTTCCTATGGCTGGGGTGGTGAAACACTGGAATTATTGCTTGCCGAGACTGTGGAATCTCCATCGCCGATATTTTTGATAAAATTTTACACAATCATCTCTCTGACAATGGTTCACATATAGCTGAACTTGCCTTAGTGAAGAAAAATGGGATAGATTATCCTTTGAAGCTCATTCCAACTCTGAATTTATCATCCAGAATCGCTCTGGAGCTTTGGTTCTTCTCTGAGTAATTCTGAAAGTTAGGGTAAGGAAGTTAGAGATTCATCCCTAATCTGATCTTTACAGCCCATCTGTCAAGACACAAAAGCAGAAACGCTATGAAAGCTGTAGTCTGAGAAACTGCATTTCACAATTTGAATCCCCTTCTAAATTTATGACCCTGTGTTGACTCTTGGTAAAAGAAATAGAAGAAAGATCAATGATTTAAATCATCCTTGAGAGCTCCAGAGAGATCTTACAGTACACTTCATAAACAATGAGGTCATTATTTTCACCGGGGCCAAACCCCCGCCAAACTCCAACATGCTAATACAAAGCTGAGCCAGGCAGACAGATGGGAATAATACTATTAATTTTTTTATTGCCAGAGGTTATGTAACCAACGGCCAGTAAAACGAAAGCCTCAAACAGGTAATAGAGTTAGGAAACAGTATGCCCCACTGGTAGTTTAGGTACGCATATTATTTCTTAATTAAATAAACTCATTTGTTTATTTTCTTCATCTGATAATCAGTATTAGAAATCATTCTTGCTGACTTAACTTTAGAATATAATTTGCTTAATATCCTGAAAGGGTATCTAAGATTAACCTAATAGCATCTTAAGTGGAAAACAATCAAAATCTCTTTGAAAATGAGTTTTTTTTTAAACTACGAACATTGTTGCTATTATTTACTCTTTTAGACATTCTGCATGCAAGACTACTGGAAACGTGACCCTCCTCCACTGTTTTTTGTGGTCACTGGACATTTCTGGTCTCACTCCTATTGAAGAATTGGCTGAAGAACTCCAGATTCAAACACTCTATTAAGGGAATCCAGTAGGAATCAACTCACCTGCTCACCTTGCATTTTGCCAGTTCACACAGAACTTCAGTAGTTGTTTTCCCATCTTTTAAATGTATTTTCAGATGCTGAAATGTCTTAATTTTCTTGAGTAAACAAAATATGCAACTGTCCATTTTCAAAAATGTTATCAAATAGTATTACAGATGTTACTTGTAGTAAATTATGTAGATGGGTAGGTAGTTTTCCCATTACACAACCTAGTTTTCTTCTCATTGAAAGTGTGTCAAATTTTAACTGTTCAGATTCAAATTTTTTGTATCAGGTCTTGCCTCAGGCTGGATTTGGTAGGAAAATTTTCAGTTAGGAGGATTGCATCACTGCTGTAGTTAGGGGAAATATGCTATGCCTATGCTACACGGTTTTTAAAATTCATGACTGTTTACTGAGAAGATCAAGCAGCTCTGTGTTCACAAGTAGCACTTATTTGACATTTGACAAGAGTCCGAGTGCTGCCAGGGATGCGCCTTTTTTTAACACCAAGAAAAGGAACCCAATTTGACCAAATGATAAGATTCTGAAAAATCTCAGTTTACGTATGGTCAGTAGAGATTTGTTAGGTTCCGGCAGTTTCCAAAGACACCATCTGCTCTAAGTATGTTTCATCCCTTCACAGCTTCTACAAGCCAACCAGACATGTCACGCCTCTTCCCACAGAGTGACTGCGTGTGGTACCCTAGGGGTGTGAGGCACGCAGGAGCAAAAGCACTGCTCTACAAGTGCTCCTCTTGTCTACTGAGCACTGTTGGACGGGACTGAACATGTTGAAGCCAAATATAACCTGAACAGACTCTTTCTCCCTCTCCCTCCCCCTCCCCCCTCATGCTAAAAGTATAAATAAGGCCCAGACTCACAGTTCTTTTGGTTTGTTTGATTTTACCCTTTACTCTATATGCTTTGTGCCACTGGGGTGATTAATATGTAACACATTGTTTCAAATGCAGGGTTTTAGTACTTTAGTCAGTCCTGGCCAGAGTTCCTCAGGGATGAGAAAGCTTACCTGTGCCTACCATAGCTGACACTGTCAACATAATATGGTGGCAAAGGAGGGGATGAAGCCAGAACTAGTCACTGAATGGACGGTGCGTGGATTACGCCCTAGCTGTGCCCAGGATTCTGCGAAAGACATAAAGACAATAAAGTTTGACCCTTTTGTTTCCTCTCTCTTTTTAAAATTTTTCCATATCTCCTCGTGCCCTAAACGGAGTTCAGTTTAGGTGTTCAGCAAGATGATAGCTTTGTTCTTTAAGAATCAAGAAAAAAGAAAAAAAGAAAGTTTTCTCTTAATACTGTGCTGGCATTGTACTTTTAGAGCCCCAGGAAGCCCTGACAAGTGACTCGCTCCTGGTTTTAGACTCCAGTCTGCCTAAAGGAGGCTACAGAAGCTCCTACTTTGAAGTTTGGGTTCATCTTGGGTGTCAGCCAGTTCTTATTCACTTCCCACCTCTTCAGGGACGCACTACCAACATATTTAAAACTGAACAACTTTCTCTTTTGAGGAGGGACATAAACTATGCTGAGAGTGAGGAGTTAGGGATATAAAATAGTCTGTTAAAAGAAGCTCTTAGGACCAGGATTAATTGCACATAAGACTCAGATCTCCTAAATGTGTCTACATGTCAGTGTCTACATGTGTGCTAGTCGTTAGCTGCTGCTAAAATCAGTGGAAATGTAGTCAGTACAGTAAGTGTAGAAAAGCAAGAGACTGGATTATTTGTAGAATAATTAATAACATGAGCTTTGCTGAAAGATTCTAAGGGTTAAACAAAATCACATGATTTGTTCTATATTTTAGTATGAGTATTCTTAAATTATTGCTCTAAGTTAAACACCACTCCTCGGCAGGTGCCAGAATTACCACAGCTACTTTATTAAAGAGAAATAAAACTTCTGTTAAATCTTCAGAGTAGTATCAGGTTTTAATGAGATTAGATCCTAAACTATGTTAACTGTACACCTGGTCAGAAGAAAAAACAAAAAATCAATGAAAGCATTTTCTGTGGGGGAAAAATGGACATAAGAGTAATATTTTCCACCTTATACAGATTTTGACAATTTTCCTAATTAAAAAAACTTTTAAAGTATGTTAATTTCAGAATGAGTCATCTAAGGAAAAAACCACAGAATTTTCTTGCTAATACTTGCTGATGCAAAACATAAAAATAATATATTTTGACTTGGAAATTTTGTGCTGTAACCTGCGAGCGAAGCTGTGCCTAGTGTAAAGAGAAAACAGAGCATAACACGGCCCTGCGGTCGCAGTGTATTGTCACAGCAGTTGCAATACTCCATTTGTTTTCACTGTCACTTCCATTTTTAATCTTACAACTTCCAGGCTAACAGAAAACATTGTGAAAAAAAGGGCTGTTTCTCCTGGCATGATTAAGGTCGACCGGTGGCCAGGGCTGCCGTCGTGGAGCCGGCGAGGTGC